GGGATTCCCGAAAAAATGTCAGTCTCTAATGGGGAGCTCTGACTGTAGGGGGTGTAATCATGGCGACTGAATTTAAACCTCTAACTCGAGAAACTAACTGCTGGTCATGGAGGTGACGACCAAGGCCATAGGGGAAACTGACCTGAAAGAGTGGGATTTTATATATATATATATATATATATATATATATATATATATATATATATATATATATATATATATATATATATATATATATATATATATATATATATATATATTATATATATATATATATATATATATATATATATATATATATATATATATATATATATGTATATATATATATATATATATATATATATATATATATATATGTGTGTGTGTGTGTGTGTGTGTTTAGGCCTACTTATTCAAAGTGTGTGTGTAAGTGCATGAGACAGAGAGGACAATTTGTACATCTACCTAAATTTGATTGACTTACTTAGTTCTTTAAAAACAAAAATAAATCATAAATTAATGTTTAATCCACATAGTTTTAAGAGTTAATTATTTTAATTAACAGTTATTAAACCTGCAAAAAGTTACTGCTAATCAAAAATTGCAAGTTTAAGTGACTTAAAAAGAGAGAACAAGATATTGGCACTCAACATTTTTAAGTAAGTATAAGTCCTAAGAGGATTTTAATCCAGCTGTAAGAAAGAGAATCAACATCTGCAAGGCAGAAAGTATCTAAAATACCATGAATACATTTAACACTAAAACTCAAATTAAGTACTCAACAAAATAACATAAATTAATCTTTTTATATTATGAAATTCTACTTAAAGACAATTAGCCGAAGCACACACCATGGATTAGAATGTACTTGAATCACATGCAGGGAGGAATCTTTTTAATGGAAGAGTTTTAAAGGAAAACAAATACTCTAAACGTTTTCTTTACATCCCTCTTTGGGGAGGAGGTTTGTTCATGTGGGACTTATTTTCCATGGGAACACAGAGGATAGTTGCTCTGCACCTGCAGACATGTTGTTGACTGTGGCTTCCTCTCAGAGCTTTGGGGTAGGGAGGGGCTCACAGCAGCTCTCATTGCTCAGTGAAGACAGTAAACTCAGAGCGAATGGTATTTTCACATTATCCCCTAACTAATTGGATGAGACACTCTGTAAAATGTTGAAGATAATGTTTTTGCAATGATGACAGCTGTTAAAATAATCTTCCCATTTGACGCGCAAGAGATGACAATTTGTTTGTTGAATACTTGGTTCTTTAAGTGAAGTCTCTCCCACAGCACCCCATGAGGTGATCCACAGGTCCTACCTGTTTGAACAACGTTTTTATGCTTCAGCGGCACCTGCTGCCAGGCCTGCTTTCAGCAGATTTTCAATTCAATTTGATGTTGAACATCTATAAACAAAGGGATTGCTGGCAGCAGCACAGCTGATATTTAGTGTTGGGCACGTTACTTTGAAAAAGTAATTAGTTACAGTTACTAGTTACTTCTCCCAAAAAGTAACTGAGTTACTAACTGAGTTATACCACAACAGTAGTCACTAGTTACTAGTAAAAGTAACTATTGCGTTACTTTTGCGTTTCTCGCCCCCGTAACCCTCACCACCCAGCCCCCACCTTCTCGCCGTGTGTTTCAAAAGCCAGCTGAATAGAGCGGACGACAAAGACAAGAACCTGCAGAGAGTTTTGCATTTATTGCAACTCAACGTAATTGACATCAGGGGGGAACGCGATGTGAAGTTTTTTAACAGGGTATTCAGATCTGGTGAGAATATGAAATTAATAACTGGGGATGTCTAATTCTGAAATCCTGTGTGTTTGGGTTGTTATAGATACTGCAACATCTATCTATCCATCTTTCTTTCTAGATGTATACTCTGTGTGTGACATAAAATATGGATCTCCATCCCTGCCACAAAGGCCATCAAATAATGTTTCCATCCATCCATCCATCCATCCATCCATCCATCCATCCATCCATCCATCCATCCATCCATCCATCCATCCATCCATCCATCCATCCAGATTTCTCCCTTTCTCCCTATAGGCTATCATTTGATCGTTCCCGCTCTCCATAGTTCTCCTGTGGCGCGAGCACAGGGCAACTGTTACGCGTCTTTAGCGAGCATGCGCGTTTCCTGTCGCTTGCGTGGTGAATCGTGCCGCCGCGCTGTGCGGAGATGCAGAGGAAACCCTATGTGATGGGGAAACGCAGCTCGACGTAACACCGGTATTTCCATGTGGAAAACGCTGTTTTGCTGCTGGAGTCATCCTCACTCTCCATCTCTCTGTGTGTGCTGTACGTTAACACCCGCCAGCGGAAACACCCACCTACCCAACTGACAGACAGAAACTCACTACACTGTAAAAACGACAACTCAAAATTGTCCACCTTACTAAGATTTTTGTATTCACTGACGATAAAATTGCCAGTTGGAACTTGAACTGTCTTTTGTGAGCCAGTTGAACTCACTTTCATAAGTTTCTGATGAAAAGTTCATCTTATTCTATAAATTAAGTTGAGTTTACTTTGAAGTTGTAGTTGACACCCAGTCCGAGCGAGGTCAACTTATCTGCGCATGCTCATTTCAAATTTGTCATGGTGGTTGCTACAGGGTTTCCATGGATTTTCCCAGGAGCTCCCTTCTAAAGTTTGGATCAGCCATCTGGTCACTCTGCTGGCGGTAACTTTCCCTGAGGACTCGTCCAAGAGAAGACTAAGGCACTGGTTTCCTGTCATCTCTGGCAATATTGCATTATTTGTAAGGTTTTCACAGGAGTTGGAAAGTAAAAAAAGATATGCTGAAACCTGATGTGCTTTAAGCAAAAGATTACTTGTTTACATGCAAAATTTGACTGGTTTACTGTCAGGGCTGCTCAGTGGTGCAGTGGGTAGCACTGCTAGCTTGCAGCACGAAGGTTCTGGGTTTGATTCCTGGCTCGGGGTCTTTCTGCAAGGAGTTTCCATGTTCTCCCTGGGTACTCTGGCTTCTTCCCACAGTCCAAAAACATGACTGTAAGTTTGATTGGCTTCTCTAAATTGTTCTTAGGTGTGAGTGTGTGCATGAATGGTTGTTAGTCCTGTGTGTGTGTGTGTGTGTGTGTGTGTGTGTGTGTGTGTGTGTGTGTCTAGTGACCTGTCCAGGGTGTACCCTGTCTCTTGCCCATTGACTGCTGGAGTGACCCCACTCGGGACAAGTGTGTAAGAAAGTGGATGATTTAATGGAGTGGGGGGGATTTAAAATAACACTTTACAGATAATAAGTTCAGATTATCTGTAGCACTCGGACTCCTTTCCGGTGAGGGTTGGACTCCACCAAGGTTGCCCTTTGTCACCGATTCTGTTCATAACTTTTATGGGCAGAATTTCTAGGCGCAGCCAAGGTGTTTAGCGGATCTGTTTTGGTGGCCTTCGGATTCCTTCTCCGGGTTGGGGAGGATGTACTGCCCCTAATGGAGGAGTTTAAGTATCTTGGGGTCTTGTTCTCGAATGAGGGGAAGATGGAACAGGAGATCGATAGCCGGATTGGTGCATTGTGTGCTGTGAAACGTGCACTGTACTGGTCGGTTGTGGTGAAGGGAGAACTGAACCAAAAAGCAAAGCTCTCGATTTATGGGTCGGTTTACATTCCTACCCTCATCTATGGTCATGAGCTTTGGGTCATGACCAAAAGAACGAGATCCCGGATACAAGCAGCTGAATTAAGTTTTCTCTTTAGAGTATCTGAGCTCTCCCTTAGAGATAGGGTGAGGAGCTCAGTCATCTGGAGAGGACGGTTGAGCCGGTTGAGGTTGAGCCGGTTGAGGTTGCCTCCCTACTTGCCTCCCTACTGAAGCTGCTATCCCCGCGTCCCGACCCCGGATAAGCGGAAGAAGATGGATGGATGGATGGATGGATCTGGCTGCAGCATTTTGGATCAGCTGAAGACTTTTAACTACAGTCTATGGAGTTCCTGGTAAGACAACGATAGAATAGTCCAGCCTTGAAGCAACAATGTTATTCTTGTTACAGTAGAACTTTCATATGACATGTTGACATTTAGTAGCTTTACTGAATGTGTATATCAGATATTCATTTTAGACAGATCAAATGGCATTTGGTTTTTTTCATGGCATGTTGGTTTGTAGTTTTTTGACCCACATGAAGAATCACACAGGGAACCAGTGAGTTTTAACATTTTATTTACAAAAAGCAACAGAGAACTGCAGATAGTCAGTTAAACCTTTTGTTTGGTCTAAAAGGAGAAAGCAGACTGATCACAAAAGAGTTGGTTGATGACAACTGATGACTTATTGATTTGCTTACTTGAGAGATGATGGGGAGAGGAAAGCATTTGACTCAGCGGGTTTGACAGACTGTACCCCTGAGGTCATGGAGAATGTGAGTGTGATCAGAGATTGTTATACCTTCAGACACATTCTGGTGGAGAGCAGGCAAGTAGGTAAAGAAGACTGAGAACTGTTTCGCAGACGTAAGACCTTTTAGATGAAGACTGGAGATGAACTGAGGTTCATTGGTTGCCTGGAATAATAACAGTCTAACCCTGGTTTAGGTCTTTGGCTGTAACGCCATCAGGAGTAATAATCCAGTGAAGAAAGATAATTCTTTGTTTCCATGTTTTGACGTTTTGGTTGAGAAAAATTCTTTGGTGTGCAGTAATATGGGTTGGCTCAGGCACTAGCAAAGTGACACAAAGCCCACTTACACCAGAAAGACAGCAAAAACCCAGACACCCTAACATTTTATATCGGCATGCAATATTACTATGCACGTTAAGCTTTTATGTGATTACTGTGCGTGAGTTAAACAGTAATCAAACTGACATAAAAGGTGTGGTTTAAGGTTTTCTCAAGGAAAATATGAAAGAGGGTAAACTGGTTGGATCAGCGAGAGTATACAAAGTTTTGTAAAATTGTAGAGAAATGTTCCTCCTTAAAAATGCCTGGCAGCAAGGATGCAACATGTTTGAACAGGAGGTGTAAAACATGAGCAAGAAAAAAGGAGTGTTGCACTAACTCCACCCACAGTTAGACTGTATAAAAACGTTTGTATCTGAACTTCCCCCAGTTTTTTGTTTCTGCAAACACACTGATCTGCATTGGACATTTAGAGCTGTAAGTACTTGTGCGTCGACAGATTAATGAAAATGATCATATGAAAGATTATTTGTATAGAGTTAACTATTGCTGGGTCATTTGCCACATTAATGCATGTACAGAATTGAATGCATATCATTTATTTGGACTATCATCTATTTCTTTAAGAAAAATGAGCAAAAACCATTTGTCAAGGAATGACGAGCTTCGCAGGGGAGACTACCTAATGTCCAACAATGGACAATGGAAGGCACTTTTCCAGGTAATAATCTCAGGTGTTATTTGATAATCCGGTTATACATTTCATGGATCAATTTGATTTAAAGTCTTTAACAGTGCAATAAAATTTGCATTTGTAGGATGATGGAAACTTTGTGATCTATGGCTGGAAGCCTGTGTGGGCCTCAGATACCTGTGGGTCTGATGCAGTCCGCCTGGTCATGCAGGAGGATTGTAACCTGGTCATGTACAATGAATCTAACAGGCCTAAATGGGCCGTCGACACAGACACACCTGGCTCTCATGTTTGCCGTCTTCAACTATCTGATGATGGGAAATTGTGTTTGTATAAAGATGCCACAGAATTGTGGAACTCCACCATTTCCAAAGGGGAAAAGAAATGAAAAAACACAAAAAATTAATAAAAATCTTACAAGAAATTCCTGGGTTTGTTTTTATTTCTTTAAATATTGTTAAAAAAAATATCCTAGAAGCCATCCATCCATCCATTTTTTCCATCCTCATTGTTGCCAACTCCTCAGCAAGCAAAGTCACTATTGGCTGTCCTTAATGTTGCTAGAAGTTAGTAGATGAGGTATTTGCCTAATTGGTATAGTTGGTACTTCTTTAATCCAGCTGTAAGAAAGAGAATCATCAACATCTGCAAGGCAGAAAGTATCTAAAATACCATGAATACATTTAACACTAAAACTCAAATTAAGTACTCAACAAAATTACATAAATGAATCTTTGTATGTTATGAAATTCTACTTAAAGATAATTAGCCGAAGCACACAGCATGGATTAGGATGTACTTGAATCACATGCAGGAAGGAATCTTTTTAATGGAAGAGTTTTAAAGGAAAAAAAAATATGCTAAACGTTTTCTTTACATCCCTCTTTGGGGAGGGGGTTTGTTCATGTGGGACGTATTTTCCATGGGAACACAGAGGTGAGTTGCTCTGCACCTGCAGACATGTTGTTGACTGTGGCTTCCTCTCAGAGCTTTAGGGTAGGGAGGGGCTCACAGCAGCTCTCATTGCTCAGTGAAGACAGTAAACTCAGAGCAAATGGTATTTGCACATTATCCCCTAACTAAGCTTAAAACTACAACTTTCTACAGCATTTCCTTTTTGGATGACATTATGGGTGAACATAACTTTGTTGTTTATACTTGCATAGATATGTTCGAATAGATCAAGATGGCAACTTAAAGAATCTGGAAATTGTACCATATGACAAATTATGCAGAGTTCTACAATTCTATTCCTCATTGGATATATTGGCTAAAAAGAAACTGTATGCATGTGGTGTTATTTTAAAAATCATCCATTGTCTATCTATTCCATCCTTCCATCCATATAACTATACATATTATTAGAACTATCTATAGTTTATTAACCTAAATAAAAACATATATACAATAAAATGTACAGCAATTTTACTATTTTCCAGATTCAAAGAAAGCTAAAAAGAAGTAGGTAGCTTAAATCCCTTTTAAAAGGAAGAAACCTCCAGCAGAACCAGGCTCAGTGTGAGCGGCCATCTGCTGAGGCCGACTGGGGTTGAAGGAGACGGAAGCGAAGATACAAACGTTTGTAGTCGTTTTGTCAAGGGTGGGGTGTCGTTAAGGTCATCGGGTCATAAATAAAAACAAAATATCATTGATAAAATACTCAAAAATACGATCTAAGGTAATCACTCACCTTTGACAACAGGATATTATATAAATCCTTATAATCAATAAAATAAATCTATAAAATATTACAGGTCATAGAACATCTATGAAAGCGGGATATTATGTAAATCCTACTATTCATTATACACATATATATATATATATATATATATATATATATATATATATATATATATATATATATATATATATATATACATATATATATACATATATATATATATATATATATATATATACATATATATATATATATATATATATATATATATATATATATATATATATATATATATATATATATATATATATATATATATATATATATATATATATATATATATCAGTACAAATCAGTTTATCTTCATCTACACCAAGTTCTTGCTTTACGGTAAGACAATGAAGGATGGATTTTTTTCTGGTGAACTGCTAGGAAGTCACACCTCTCTGCCAATCTTCTCTGCTGCTTCTTTCTGCTCTGCCTGCTGGAGATGGGAACCAGGTGGACTCAATCTCTGGCAATAAAAGGCTACGTTCACACTGTCGGCCTGATGCTCAATTCCGATTTTTTTGCAAAATCCGATTTTTTTACGTTGTCGTTCATATTTACAAATATATGCGACTTGTATGTGATCTCCTGTATGAACTGCAGTCATACAATGCAGGTGTTCTGCATGCTTGGTATAGGACGCAATGACGTCACAGGCCAGCATGCTCTTTTTTTTCCGGAAGTAAACATGGATGGTAGTGCCGGAGCCCATCTAGCGATCTTTTCCAACCATACAAAACACAATCTTTTCAATATGGTTAAACATAAATACTGCTCTCCGTATCATTATCTGCATGGTTGTTGTTTTTCTTGCAGCTTCTGCGTAGCAATACACAGAATAGTGACCTTTGTCGGGTATTAACGGGGGTCAGGTCGGATGAATCCGACCTGGAAGTTCAGACTCAGGTCTGAACGCATTTGAAAAGATCAGATTTGTATCGGATTCAGGACCACATAGCCAAGTGGCCTGGGTCAGATTGGAAAAAATCGGATCTGTGTTGTTCAGACTGCAATGAAAAGATCAGATCCAGGTTGCATATGTGCAAAAAAATAGGATTTTGGTCACTTTAGCTGCAGTGTGAACGTAACCAAAGAGTGTACTTTTGGTGTGGCTGACCTCTCACTCTGGTTTGAGGAAGTAACACAGCATGCAAGGCAAACATCTATGGAAGCAAATCGTTACCATATTTAAAATGAAAAAGCATTTCCAGAAATGCTTTTTCATTTTAAGAATATGGCTGCATTATTTGACTCATCAATAATCCTGTTTGCATCTTTATGTTCTTTTTTAACACCACTCGTCCTTTTACTTAATTAAAATGAAAAAAAAAGGCATTTGAGATTTATTTTTCAATATGTTCCCCAGCAAATACATACCAAAATTCCATTTGAAATGTAAAATTTGAAAATGAAAAAGCATTTCCAGAAATGCTTTTTCATTTTAAGAATGTGGCTGCATTGTTTGGCTCATAAATGAAATTAGTAATCAATCATCATATTTGCATTTTAATTTTCTTCTTCAAGACTGCTCATCTTTTTACTTAATTAAAATGAAAAAGAAAAAGACATTTGAGATTTATTTTTCAAAATGTGCCCAAGAAAAATAAATACCAAAATTCAATTTGAAATGTAAAATTCGAAAATGGAAAAGCATTTCTGGAAATGCTTTTCCATTTTAAGAATGTAGCTGCTGTGGTAATGTGGCCTTTTTGTTAAGTTTATTGCATGTATTCTAATTTTTGATTTTCTTTATTTTTGAACTTGTTTGCTTGTTTTTAATTTTGTGTGTTGCATGTTTTTTTGGGATTTTGTTTGGAGGCCACATTGCCACTCACACCTGGACACGCCCACAGTAACGGCACAGGTGTTCCCAATCAACCAAGCAGCGTGCCGACTGGGACGCTGATTAAAAAGGCAGCTGTTTGGTTGCAGAGAGACACCGGACATGGGAAGGTTTGGTTGGGGAGACACACCGGACATGGGAAGGCCGATCTTGGAGGGAGCCGGACGGAGCGGGTGAAAGAGAAGCAGCAGGAGAGGTTTGGGAACTGACGGCAGAAGGCCGCTGGAGCGAGGTGCAGAGACGCACACCGGAGCGAGGTGCAGAGACGCACACCGGAGCAAGGTGCAGGGACGCGCACCGGAGCGAGGTGCAGAGACGCACGCCGGAGCGGGGTGCAGGGACGCGCACCGGAGCGGGGTACAGAGACGCGCACCGGAGCGAGGTGCAGAGACGCACGCCGGAGCGAGGTGCAGGGACGCGCACCGGAGCGAGGTGCAGGGACGCGCACCGGAGCGAGGTGCAGGGACGCGCACCGGAGCGAGGTGCAGGGACGCACGCCGGAGCGGGGTGCAGAGAGGCCCGTCATGGGGCGAGGCGCAGAGGCACGCTGGCGAGAGGCGCGTGTTGGAGGAGACCTCGCAGGCCAGCTACGCTGGAGAGGCCCACACGCGGACGAGGATCCAGCGCTGGGGTGGACGGTGCCCTCCATTATACCCGCCAAGTGCACGTCTTTTAACAGACTGGGCCATTGACTCTGCTGCTCTTCACCATCTGGATTTTTATCTTTCTTTTTAATCTTTTCCCTTTTAACTTGTCTTTTTATCTTTTTTTTATTGGACTTTAATCTATTAAACTTTTTAAAGCCCTGCTCACAATCGCTGCAGTCTGTTTGGTTTTTATGTTTTTTTTTAAGATCATCGCACCTCTCGGGTGCCACACTGCATTGTTTGGCTCATAAATGAAATTAGTAATCAATAATCCTGTTTGCATTTGCATTTTCTTCTTCAAGACTGCTCATCCTTTTACTTAATTAAAATTAAAAAGAAAAAGACATTTGAGATTTATTTTTCAAAATGTACCACAGCAATTACATACCAAAATTCAATTTGAAAAGTAAAATTTGAAAATGAAAAAGCATTTCCAGAAATGCTTTTTCATTGAACAATACCTCCTTAACGACGAGCCTTAACAATAATAGACAGGTTTCAGGTATTACAGGAGACAATCCCCCCCCTTTAACGAAAATCCCCCCCTTTAGTGACCGACCTTCAGAATCATAGACAGGTTTCAGATATTACAGCCTAACAATGGAAGCAAACGACCCACTGATCGGTTACCATTTGCATGTTTCCAAGTGATACAAGGCTTTGTCTATATAAGACTCAAACTCACTGTGGATCCAGACATTTGAATTGAGAAAGCTTCCTGGAGAGGTGGCGAAACGTCTTCAAATCTTGGAAACCAAGTCCAGATATTTTTGGAACTTTTACGGAATGACTATGACATGGAAGACTGAGAATCTCCATCAGTATAGAACTCTGCATAATTTGTCATATGGTACAATTTCCAGATTCTTTAAGTTGCCATCTTGATCTATTCGAACATATCTATGCAAGTATAAACAACAAAGTTATGTCCACCCATAATGTCATCCAAAAAGGAAATGCTGCAGAAAGTTGTAGTTTTAAGCTTAGTTAGGGGATAATGTACAAATACCATTTGCTCTGAGTTTACTGTCTTCACTGAGCAATGAAAGCTGCTGAGAGCTCCTCCCTGCTCCAAAGCTCTGAGAGGAAGCCACAGTCATCAACATGTCTGCAGGTGCAGAGCATCTCTCCTTTGTGTTCCCATGGAAAATAAGTCCCACATGACAAACCCCTCCCCAAAGAGGGATGTAAAGAAAACGTATTTTCTTTCCTTTAAAACTCTTCCACTAAAAAGATTCCTCCCTGCCTTGCAGATGCTGATGATTCTCTTTCTTACAGCTGGATTAAAGAAGTACCAACTATACCAATTAGGCAATTACCTCATCTACTAACGTCTAGCAACATTAAGGACAGCCAATAGTGACTTTGCTTGCTGAAGAGTTGGCAACAATGAGGATGGAAAAATGGATGGATGGATGGATGGCTTCTAGGATCTTCTTTTAACAATATTTAAAGAAATAAAAGCAAACAAGTTATTTCTTGTAAGATTTTTATTTATTTTTTGTGTTTCTTCATTTCTTTCCCCCTTTGGACATGGTGGAGTTCCACAGTTCTGTTGCATCTTTATACAAACACAATTTCCCATCATCAGATAGTTGAAGACGGCAAACATGAGAGCCAGGATTGAATGTGTCGCTGGCCCATTTAGGCCTGTTAGATTCATTGTACATGACCAGGTTACAATCCTCCTGCATGATCAGGCGGACTGCATCAGACCCATAGGTATCTGAGGCCCACACAGGCTTCCAGCCATAGATGACAAAGTTTCCATCATCCTACAAATGCAAATTTTAGTGCACTGTTAAAGACTTTAAATCAAATTGATCCATGAAATGTATAACCGGATTATCAAATAACACCTGAGATTATTACCTGGAAAAGTGCCTTCCATTGTCCATTGTTGGACATTAGGTAGTCTCCCCTGCGAAGCTCGTCATTCCTTGACAAATTGTTTTTGCTCATTTTTCTGAAACAGAGATAGAATGATAGTCCAAAGTAAATGATATGCATTCAATTCTGTACATGCATTAATGTGGCAAATGACCCCAGGATAGTTACTTTATACAAATAAGCTTTCATATGATCATTTGCATCAATCTGTCAACGCACAAGTACTTACAGCTCCAAATGTCCAATGCAGATCAGTGTGTTTGCAGAAACAAAATACTGGGGGAAGTTCAGATACAAACATTTTTATACAGTCTAACCGTGGGTGGAGTTAGTGCAACACTCCTTTTTCTCTTCCTCATATTTTACACCTCCTCTTCAAGCATTTTGCATCCTTGCTGCCTTTTTTTTTTACAAAACTTTGTATACTATCGCTGATCCAACCAGTTTACCCTCTTTCATATTTTCCTTGAGAAAACCTTAAACAACACCTCTTATGTCACTTTGATTACTGTTTAACTCACACACAGTAATCACATAAAAGCTTAATTTGCATAGTAATATTGCATGCCTATATAAAATGTTAGTGTGTCTGGGGTTTTTTCTGTGTTTCTGGTGTGAGTGGGCTTCGTGTCACTTTGCTAGCGCCTGAGCCAACCCATATTACTGCACACCAAAGAATTTTTCTCAACCAAAATGTCAACACATGGAAACAAAGAATTATCTTACTTCACTGGATTATTACTCCTGATTGTGTTCCAGCCAAAGACCTAAACCAGGGCTAGACTGTTATTGTTCCAGGCAACCAGTGAACCTCAGTTCATCTCCAGTCTTTATCTAAAAGGTCTTACCTCTGCGAAGCAGTTCTCAGTCTTCTTCACCTACTTGCCTGCTCTCCACCAAAATGTGTTTGCAAGTATAACGATCTCTGATCACACTCACATTCTTCTTGACCTCAGGGGTACAGTCTGTCAAACCCGCTGAGTCAATTACTTCCCTCTCCCCATCATCTCTCAAGTAAGCAAATCAATAAGTCATCAGTTGTCATCAACCAACTCTTTCATGATCACTCTGCTTTCTCCTCTTAGACCACAAAAAAGGTTTAATTGACTATCTGCAGTTCTCTGTTACTCTTTGTAAATAAAATGTTAAAACTCACTGGTTCCCTGTGTAATTTTTCATGTGGGTCAAAAAACTACAAACCAACATGCCATGAAAAAACAAATGCCATTTGTTCTGTCTAAAATGAATTTCTGATATACACATTCAGTCAAGCTAATAAATGTCAACATGTCATATGAAAGTTCTACTGTAACAAAAATAACATTGTTGCTTCAAGGCTGGAATATTCTATCATTGTTTTACAAGGTACTCCATAAACTGTAGTTAAAAGTCTTCAGCTGATCCAATATGCTGCAGCCAGATCCATCCATCCATCCATCCATCCATCCATCCATCCATCCATCCATCCATCCATCCATCCATCCATCCATCCATCCATCCATCCATCCATCCATCCATCTTCTTCCGCTTATCCGGGATCTCATTCTTTTGGTCATGACCCAAAGCTCATGACCATAGATGAGGGTAGAAATGTAAATCCACCTGTAAATCGAGAGCTTTGCTTTTTGGCTCAGTTCTCTCTTCACCACAACTGACCGGTACAGTGCACGCAATCCGGCTATCTTTCTCCTGTTCCATCTTCCCCTCATTCGAGAACAGGACTCGAGATACTTAAACTCCTCCATTAGGGGCAGTACATCCTCCCCAACCCGGAGAAGGCACTCTACCCTTTTCCGACTTAAGACCATGGTCTTGGATTTGGAGGCACTGATCCTCATCCCGGCCGCTTCACACTCGCTTCACAAACCGCTCCAGTGAGAGCTGTAGATCACGCCCTGATGAAGCCAATAGAACCACATCATCTGCATATAACAGAGATGGAATCCGAAGGCCACCAAAACAGATCCCCTAAACACCTTGGCTGCATCTACAAATTCTGCCCATAAAAGTTATGAACAGAATCGGTGACAAAGGGCAACCTTGGTGGAGTCCAACCCTCCCCGGAAACGAGTCCGACTTACTGCCGGCAATGCAGACCAGGCTCTGACATTGGTCGTACAGAGACCTAACAGCCCTTAATAAAGGGCCCGGTGCTCCATACTGGTTAGGCAAACTCCAGTGCACCCTCTAGAATCCTGCTGAGGGTGTAGACCTGATCCAGTGTTCCACTGCCAGGATGAAAACCACACTGCTCTTCCTAAATCCGAGATCCGACTATCTGACGGACCCTCCTTTCCAGAACCCCGGAATAGACCTTACCAGAGAGGCTTAAGAGTGTCATTCCTCTGTAGTTGAAACACACCCTCCGGCCCCCTTTTTTTTAATAGAGAGACCACCACCCCAGTCTGCCAATCCAGGGGAACTGCCCCTGATGTCAACGCAATGTTGCAGAGCTGCATTAACCAACACAGCCCCACAACATCCAGAGCCCTAAGGTGTCTAAGGCTGTAACTTTCCCAGCAGACCCTCACAATACGTTTGGGCCTACCAGATCTGACCAACATCCTCCCCCGACATTGGAGCCAACTCACCACCAGGTAGTGGTCAGTGGAGAGCGCCGCCCCTCTCTTCACCCGTGTGTCCAAGACATGTCTGCAGCCACAGTTCGGATGAAAAATAAAAAGAGAGATCATATATCTCCTATCCTAGCCTCTTTTCATTGGCTTCCTCATAGATCCAGAATAGAATTTAAAATCCTCCTTCTCACATATAAAGCCTTATCAGAGATCTGATTGTTCCTTATGTTCCTAACAGAGCACTTTGCTTTCAATCTGCAGGTTTACTATTGGTTCCTAGAATTTCTAAAAGTAGAACAGGGGGCAGATATTTTTTATATCAGCAAGGTGACATTTAAAGTCACCCCGCCAGTTAGCTGTAAAGGTGCCTAAGATGCAGTGTTGGATAGTGAGGTGTCATGGAAGACTGTCCAATGAAAACTCGATATCTGTGTTCCAACTGTGTCAGTGTTGTGAGTGAAGGCAGAAGCTAACTCCAGCACCATGAGCTGTGCATTTGGCTAAAGATTGAACTTCGGAATAAAGTCCAGTTGTTTTGTTTTTTAATTTTTTGGAAAGCTAGAGATTGAAGTTATTGTCTGAAAGTTAATTTAGATAATTTTTTTTAAGTGTAATTTTTTATTTTTACTTTTAAGTCAAGAGTACTTATTAAGTTTCAGGCAATCAGTTTCCACAAATATTTTATGTTTGGAGTGAAATGATTTTGAGTTTTATCAAGTCTATGTTTTTGAGTCATGTTTAATGAGAAGATTGAAAGAAAAAACTAATAAATGTTAAGTTCATTAAACATAAAAACCTGTGTCTTCATACTTGAAATGATTAAGTTTGCTTGAGTTATTTCAATGAGAGAGATGAATGAACATTCTGTGTTTTGAGTTGGCTTAATTGGCAAATGTAATTTAATTTAAATGTACATTTAAAATAAACTCCAAACATTTCAGCTCTGTCATACTCAAATGTTTCAGTTTTAGAACTCAAAAGAGTTGTGTCAATGATCGCCTTACTTTTTTTCAGTACTGTTAACTTATTCGGTGTTACAGTGTACCCGTTTTAGTCCGTGAGGGAGATACCCTGTCTACTTTTAAGTGTAGGTTTAAAACTTGCTTTTTTTTAAGCTTATAGTTAGAGGGGCTATCATTATCCTGAGCTATCTCTTTAGTTATACTGCTATAGGCTTAGGCTGCTGGAGGACATAGGGACCCCTATTTCATCATTCTGCTTCATTCTACCTCTATTCTCCCACTCTGCAGAATTTGTTAGTTCCATCTCTAACGTTCTGCTCTCTCTGCTTTTTCTCAGCTTCATCTGGTCTGTTCCTGTTTGGCTGTGACACCATCCTGGAGAGAAATATCAGCTGTGCTGCTGCCAGCAATCCATTTGTTTATAGATGTTCGACATCAAATTGAATTAAAAATCTGCTCAAAGAACGCCTGGCAGAAGGCGCCGCTGAAGCATAAAAACGTTGTTCAAACAGGTAGGACCTGTGGATCACCTCATGGGGAGAGACTTCATTTAAAGAAACAAGTATTCAACAAACTGTCATCTCTTTCCTGCCAAATGGGAAGATTATTTTACAGCCGTCATTATCGCAAAAACATGATCTTCAACATTTCACAGAGTGTCTCAGCCAATGAGGTTCTTTGGTAAACATCTTATCTCATGCAGGCTCCATATCAATCTGTAACTGGAGCCACAATCTGATGATGTTAGATGGAACTATTCACCATTGTTTATCTTCAGTGCACATGGGTGCTGGACTGATTTTATCTGTCGATGCCACAAGACTTTTGGCAAAAAAATCAGTTTATCTTTGGAAGTTTTTCCTTTTTTAACAGAAACACAAAGTACGTATATATTCAAACATAGCAACTAGGCCTAAGTGAACTCTCTCTATAAAAAGGATGATAACCTTTTGATCCCCGTCAGTACCTCTTCATTTAATTCTGTTTCATTTAAAATGTTTGTATTTTTAACATCTAAAAATGTCTAACCTAGTGACCTAGTGACTGATATTTTTCATTATTCACACAGAACTAGAAAGAACTCTCCTGAATGAATCAGGAAAAACAACAGCGTGAATGGTTTTATGGAAGCCAAAGGACACTATATCTGTGTTCGAAATCCTGGGCTGCATCCACCAAGGACGCAGTCTACCTAGACTGGATCCTGAAGTCCTTGAAAATAAGGAGACCGGAAGAGTTTTGGCTGTGAATTCGAACAGGTCTACCCTTTAGCAGGTTTTACAAAGTTGACCACATAGCAGGAAAAGAATAAAAACCAAAGTTTCCAAAACTGTTTGTTTATTTATTTATTGTTTATTATAAAGTGAACAAAGACTACAATGATGAGAATCCAGAGTGGAATAAAGGTTCCAACCACCGGGAGCAGGAACAAATAAAATCAAATGTAATGATAGAAACCTTAGTCAGTTAAATAACATGCTGCTGTAATTTTGCACATCTCTGATGTTGCTGCTATTTTCAAATATCCATTACTGCTGTTAGGTTTATCCTTTTATACATCATGTGCATTGTTATTTTGTTAGTCAGATTAGACAGAGAGGAAGGCCTTCCTTCACATTGTGGATGTCACAGTGTGTATGGAGGTCATCTAATCGGGACAGCCTTCGTGTCTTTAAGAATACACAGGATATGGGCACATCTTGGAGCCGGTCTGATAGGAGAGCTATCTGTAACCCTGAAGCATAGAAGCAAGCTGTGTGAAGTCCAAGACATGGATAGCGTGTCAGTTTCTGATACGGACAGCCAAGCATCCACATGATGCAACACAGACTTAGAAGGTATAAGAAGCAGGAGATTACCTTGTTTGGGGCTCAAACTTTGCCGGACGCTCGCGGACGGGATTTTTGAGACCACAGCTGTGCAAGCTCTAAGCATTTTTCTCTGTCATGTAACGACCTGATCTGGAATAAACTCTGTCAGTTTTTACTCCTGTTTTTATAGTCCTTTTTATATGGTTTTACCCAGTTTGAGTTAACAGTAGTAAATAACTTGGTCCCAGGAAAAGAACCGGTGAGAAGGCCCCCGGGGCGCTGCAGCCTTTTCTTCCAAGGGGACAAATCCTTCTCATTTTAACACTGCAAAAATGTCCATAGCTGGATATTGGTTATTTATTCTCCAGTTTTATATTGTTAAAACACTTTACAGAATTGTATTGTTTATATTTTAACTCTTCCCTATTATCTTATTCGTATACATTTTTCTAAGGTTCACATTTGTGTGACCATTTTCAATAATCTTTCTGCTGCTGTAAATTTTCCCATTCTGGGACAATAAAGGGATTTTCTATTCTATAAAAGGGGTAAAAATATATAAGTAAATCTAAAAAATATATTGTGGCGGACCACTAGGGGGCTCCACTCTCACTCAGTGGGAGGTTGAAGTTAT